AAGATTGGTGATCCTGATGCTCCTCGCCCTTGGAGTCGCCATTCTTTGAAAAAGCCAGAATATAATGCTAAAGACAAGTCTAACAGTGGCGATGTTAATGCACCACTGAAGAATTCCAAGAGCCAAGGAAAGTCTGCTGATGTGGGAGCTTCTAAAGGCACTATAGCTAATGATCCCAAGTTCCAAGAGTTTCTTCAAGTTATGCAACCCCGATCTAAAGCAAAGATGTGGGCAAATGATACAACGGGTACCCTTGATGATGCTGCCAAAGATAGCACGGTAGCTACTGGATCCAAGAAGTCGCAGAAGAGTGAAAATGATTCATCGTCTGAAAATGATTCATCTTCTGACGATGATTTTGAGGAGAAAATAACAAATGATTTGCCCTCACAAAATGCTTCAGAGAAGCTTCAAACTGAAAGTAAACGAGACAACAGTATGACAGATATGGACTTCTTCAAGAGTAAAATTAGAAAAGACTGGTCTGATTCCGAATCTGATGATGAAGATTCTGGTGATGAGTTGGGCAACAACACTGATGATGAAGAACCATCTGATGAATTGCTTGAGGCAAATGAAAAGGGTCAGATGGTGGATCAAAAGGGTAATCTAAACCAGAAAAATCATGAAGATAAGAAAGCGCCCATGGAAGGTAGTGACACGCAAGAAGTGGAAGATTCTGACAACCAAGACGGTGAACATATTGACAGCCAACAAAAAGATGAAAATCATGCCAATCAAGAAACAGAAGATGTTGAAGCCGCTTCAACTACTGATGAAAAGAAGCTGGCACTGGAGACTGGCCGTTTATATATCTGCAACCTTCCATATGCAACTACGTATGTTTTTACTTGGTGGCATTACTTCAGATCAGCATTTATGTGTATATTCAAGATTTTAGCTGTTTGCCTTTTCTTACAAGGATATTGTTGCTTGTGGTTTCAGTGAAGAGGATCTGGTTCAGCTATGCAGCCAGTATGGCGATGTTGAACAGGCACATATTGTCGTCGATAAAACCACTAAGCTCTCAACAGGCAGAGGTTACGTGCTTTTTAGCCTTCCAGACTCAGCAGTCAGGTAAATATTTGGCTAGCAGCTTTGTTATCTTCGATGCAGAAGGATAGGCTTATTTCTTTTTTGACAGTTCAACTTACAGGAGATTGTTTAATCCTTCACTGTACAGACTTACTTTCCTCCATGCATATTTGCATGATGCATGACAACTTGATATGTGGTTTGCAGGGCACTTGATGAATTAGACAACTTAAGTTTTCAGGGGCGACTATTACGTGTTAAGGCTGCTAAACCACTTAATAATAAGACATTTGAGTAAGAAAAGAAGTTCCTTCTGTGCTGTTTCCTTTCATTGTTTGGCTGTGCAAATAATGTGCTATTCATTTACTCTTAAATTGTCAAGGTCTAGTCATTTTGCTGTTGACGAGAAAATGAATCTCAAGGAGAGAAGGTTGGAACAAAAGAAAACTTCTGAAATTGGCGGGGATACAAGAGCATGGAACAGCTTTTATATGCGTCAAGATACTGTATGGTTATCTTCTAGCCTTGACATTGAGTACTGGTTTTTGTTTGTGCCAACTCAACATGTCGTTTATGTACTTTTGTTGAGGCAATTGTCGTTTATGTACTTCTGTCGAGAAAATATTGTTGCAAATCACATGATATTGTTGTCAGACATTTCCTCGCTGTTCCTTTTTGAACAATCCTCTTATCTTTCATGTCAACTGATTGAAGCAATTGCGTTTGTGTTTAGGTCGTTGAAAACATAGCAAGGAAGAATGGTATAAGTAAGAGCGAATTACTTCATAGGGAAGCGGATGACCTTGCTGTTCGTATTGCTCTTGGTGAGACACATGTCATTGCGGAGACCAAAAAATATCTATCTAGGTCTGGAGTTAATGTTGATGCCTTGGAAGAACATACTTCCAAAAGAAACGAGAAGTTGAAACGAAGCAACCATGTGATATTGGTAAAAAACTTGCCATATAGTTCTTCCGAAGAAGATCTCGCTGCGATGTTTCAGAAACATGGAAGTTTGGATAAAATCATTCTCCCACCGACGAGAGTATTCGCCTTGGTATGTTCTACGTTTTACTTGTGTTGTTTCACTGTTTGTTGTCATGCTGGTTGTGGCATTGCCTTTTGGAACTATTTATGGGCGTATATCATTCGCTCTTAGGATTGCGAGTTTGCTTTGCCACCTGAGCTGATAACGCCCCTCTTCACTTCTTGTATTTTTCTGAGTTATTTCTTTTGGTGTCTCAGGTAGTCTTCGTTGAAGCAACTGAGGCTCGTCATGCTTTCAAAAAATTGCTATACACACGATACAAGTAAGTTTCTGCAGTGGTGCTAGTTAATTCATTGTTAATTAAAAATATTCCAGCTCACAAAGTTTGCACTCTGTATTAATTATTTAATCGGGATCGGGTTCCATAATGTAATTTTCTTTGTTCAAGTAAAGTAATGCAACGAATGGTATGTCTGACCTTCAATTAGGAAGGTTCTCTTTAGTTTGTACTCCTTCCGATCCTAAATATAAGTCTTTTTAGAGATTCCAATACGAACTATGTACGGATGTATATAAACATATTTTAGAGTGTAGATTCACTCATTTTGCTCAATATGTAGTCCATATTGGAATCTCTAAAAAGACTTATATTTAGGAACGGAGGGAGTATATTCTTAAAAACTCATATAGATACCAGAGGCTGTAATTCTGCTATGGAGATATTTTAAGCTACTCTGCATCCTTTCATTTTAGTGTTGTTTAGTTTTGGTTACCCATCGTATCTTCTGAAATTTCTGTCAATTTTTATAACTATAGCTCTTAGCTTGGTTTATAGAAATCTACACTTCTGTATTTCATAATAATCTCGCTTTTGGATTGTAGGGATACTCCACTGTATTTGGAATGGGCACCTGACAATATTTTATCTCCTACCTCAACAACCATGGAAGAAGACGAAACAAATACCGCTGGTGAGAGGATTATTACAAAAGCTATTGTAGATCAAACAAAGGAAGGAGTTAGTGCTGAAGAGATTGATCCTGATAGAGTGGAGGTTTGCAGCTTTCTCTAACTCTTGCTTTCTTGTTTCTTATGACTCATGAGGAGCATTTGTTATACTTAGCCTTCTCCATTGTACAGATTATGAACAGAACAGTTATTTATTTTCTTTTGGTTACCCCGATTATACTTGGGCTATTACAATCTTAGTAATGCACCATTGTTCGTTGCAGTCCCGATCTGTATTTGTCAAGAATTTGAATTTCAAGACTACAGATGAATCGTTAAAGCAGCATTTCAGTACAAAATTGAAGACCGGGAGCCTTAAAAGTGCAACGGTATGGACATGCTTATGAATATCAAACGCATTCTTGGTTGTCCCACTATCTTAATTCTTTACCCATCGTTTTTCCGAGTCACTATTTAGGTGAAAAAACATATTAAGAAAGGCAAGAATGTTTCAATGGGATTTGGCTTCGCTGAGTTTGATTCGGTTGAAACTGCAACCAGTGTGTGCAAGGATCTACAGGTATCCTCCATTTGACCTGCCTGTCAGGGTTCTCCTCCCCTCTGTATTTTTTTTGTTTTTGTTTACAGCATAATGTGCTCATATAGATATGCGGCATGCTAAATGAACTGCGTGTTAATAGGGAACGGTCTTGGATGGGCATGCTCTGATCTTACAACTATGCCATGGGAGAAAGGATGGTCAAACTGCGAAGAAAAATGAGAAGGACAAGAGTTCAACCAAACTGCTTGTGCGAAATGTAGCGTTTGAAGCAACTGAAAAGGACCTGAGGCAATTATTCAGTCCATTTGGCCAGGTGAATGTCCTCCTTTTGTTGTCGAAATCTATTTGAAAACCCAGATGAAGACCAAGAACAGTCTCTAGGGATTTGGATTCAATTTCATTGAAAATTGCAATAATAATATCATCATGAAGAAAAAAATTCAACTCCTCGCAACAAGAAAGTATTTAAACATAATTGGATTTTACTTTTAGATGGACCCAATAAAGAGTCCATGGCTTCTGGGTGGATGAAAATGCTATATTCTTCCTGAAATCTGATGAGTTTATGTTGATGAAAACAATTTCAGATCAAAACCCTGAGGCTGCCCATGAAGTTTGGAAGTCACAGAGGTTTCGCGTTTGTCGAATTCGTGACGAAGCAAGAGGCACAGAACGCCCTTCAAGCCCTTGCAAGCACCCATCTCTATGGCCGACATCTGGTATGAGCCTCTCTCATTCAAGATCACACCCCCTATGCTTGACGAACCAACTGCAGTATGTTGACTTTGTTGCATTCACTTTCAGGTGATTGAGCGAGCCAAAGAGGGAGAGACCCTCGAAGAATTGCGAGCAAGAACCGCCGCTCAGTTTGTGGACGAACAGAGCGGTTTCCAGCGGATGTCCAAGAAGAGGAAACAGACTAGTCTGGTGGACGAAGGCTCTGTTAAGTTCTCAAGGATAGTAGAATGATAATGTTCTGGAGGTAACACCAGGCGTCAAATTTTTGACCATGTAGTATATGATAGCATCACTCATCTAAGCCGAGCCTCTTCTACCTTCTCTTGTTTCTTTCGGGTTGTCCAAGCATTTGTTTTTATCATGCCGTGTCGTGTTGGTGCTGGGGAAAAGGAGAATGCAGCGGCTCGTATGTGGAAAATGGAAAACAGTGCGCCCAAAAAAGGCATTTACAAGAAGTCAAAATGATCCAGTTCGAGACACATTGATGCCACAAAATCAGAAAATGGCCTGGTGTTCTGCTTGTTCAGCTCTATAACAAATCTGTACCAGCAGCAGCTATTCTTGTCCAGCCTGCAGTGAACATCTTTATCTCAAATTTTGTACAGCAATGTGCAGATTCATAGCTGCTATGTGCAAACCGTATTATGTTTTCCGTATCGAGATCTATCTGGCACAGTTGTCTACAAAGGCAACAAGTAGGAAAATGCAAGAGCTCCTGCCTCTGTCCTGTCAGGTAAAGCTATAAGCAACCTCTTTCATGTGCGCCACATGGTATTCACCATTTGTTTGAATTCTACCTTGAAATCTTACAGCTGCCTGCAAGTATGAGCAATAGTAATTAATCAAATCAAGCAAACAGCACTAATAATCAACACCTGAATTTCACTACCTTGATAGATTTCGGATGCCAAAACAGGCAAAACTAGATGTGCCATTCATTCATTACCTGGCTATCTATGCTGCTTCCACGGCCTCCTCCCTCAGCGGCCGGTTCTCGCCGCTGCTGCTCTGGCTCTCCAGAGGCATGTACTGCGACATGATCGCCGCCACCTCCGAGTCCATGTACCGCTGCACCAGATTTTTCATTTTATTTATCGTCAGCAAAGAAATACCCAATGCTTGTATTTGCCGTGTCATTCATTCATTTCGAGACGGAGGAGGTTGCCTCTGAACTCTGGTCCTTACCCTGAGCCTGTACTTGTAGAAGGCGAACCCGGCGAGCCCGGCGCCGGCGAGGCACGACAGCACCAGCGCCGTCACCATCCACCCCATCGCCGCCGCGCTCTTCCCCACGCAGGTGTCCTCGGCCTGGATGTACACCTGGTTGCCGCCGCCGCCGCAGCTGCAGTGGTACCCGCCCCAGTTGTTCTTGCAGGAGCAGCCCGGGCAGGTGCACGCCACCTTCTCGCTGCACTCGTCCACGTCTGCAATGGCGGTTCGGAGTATTATCAGTCTCCTACCACCCACAGCCAGAGCCCACAGGCCACAGAGAGACTGCAAATGGAAGGAAGGTGAACGACTGAGCGAGTTGAACGCACCTTCGCAGGTGAGGCCGTCGCCCTTGAACCCCGGCGGGCACTCGCAGCCGCTGAGCGACCCGGAGCCCTTGCAGGCGGAGAAGGTCTTGCCGTGCCTTGTCTCCTTCCAGCACCCGCCGTTGTTGGCGGCGCACCGGCCGGGGCCGACGGGCTTGCACTCCTTGTACCCGTTGCCCTCGTACTGCACGCCGTCCACCGCCGGGCACTCGCACACCCTCCCCCTGTACGTGTCCTGCAGTGCCATGCCAACGCGCGCACCGGTCAGTTTTACCGTGGGAGTGTTCTGAATATCGGATGGACACACGCCGCTGCAACCTTCTGAATGTTGTTCAGAAAAGGAATGGAGGATGGATGCTGTACCTTGCAGGCGGTGATGTTGGTCTTGTCGTCGCGCCAGCAGCCGCCGTTGTTGTGCAGGCACTCGTCGGTCTCCATGTCTGCAACCAGATCGTACAGATCCGTTATCACCAGTAAGCAGCACTAGTGAAATGAAGCGATCGATCGATCAGGTTGTAATAAACCTTGTGTCATGCACACACGGGGCTCGGTGGTCTCCTTGAAACCGGCGCAGATCGCCTTGAGGACGGCCGTGCTCTCCAGCTTCCCTGCAAAAACAGAAACGAAACCACGATCAGTTTCTTTCAGACAAATTCAGCAATCGCCATGAAATCAGGAGAAGCCACCAAGCTCGACCGCATTCGTACCCCGGTACTGCACGTTGTTGATGACCAGCGTGGGCAGGATGGTGACGTCGCCTCGATCCCCCTGCCCGACCTGCACGACCTGCTCCGTCCGGAGCACGTCGTTGTCGGCGTCGGCGTCGGGGTCGCCCATGCACTTGTCGATCAGCTCCGCCGGCAGGCCCAGCGACGCCACCACCTCCTCGGCGCACCCGCGGGAGTACCTCTTCTCCCGCATGGAGCACCGCACGCGGTAGTCGGCCACGAAGTCCCACCACGCCCACGACGCGTTGCGGGCGTTGGCCACCCGGTGCACGCACAGCTGCCGGAGGTTCTCCAGCACCACGTCGCGGCCCCGGTAGCCGGCGCCCAGGTCCCCCTCCGGGTCCGGCGCGCAGTAGCGGCCGCGGTTGATGCACTGCGACGCGCACTGCCGCGTGCCCCGGTACTCGTCGGGGCAGAACCACGTGATGTAGTGCGGCGTGAAGAGCGCGTCGCCGGCCTTCTCCAGCAGCTGCGCGTGGCCCCGGAACGCCGCCACGAACGCCGCCTGCTCGTCGCACCGCGGCCCGCACTCGTCGTTGCTGTTGGTCCAGAACTCGTACTCCACCCGCGCGTCCGGGTTCGGCATCGACTCGCGCCAGTCGAGGCGGACCACCACCTCGGCGCCGCCGGAGTCGGAGGCGGCGGCGCGGAGCGCGTCGCCGAAGGGCTTGGAGACGAGCGCGGAGGGGGCGGTGATGTTGGCCAGGAAGGCCATGTCGGGGGTCTCCTCCTCCGGGGTGTCCATGGTCAGCAGCGGCTCCTCCACGCTATCGGCCACCAGCACCGCCGCCGCGCCCGCCTGCTGCGCGTGCCACGTCTTGAGCGCGAAGTAGCAGCCGCCGCGGTCCACCAGGAGCACCACGGGCCGGCCGGACCGCGACTTGAACGCCGTCGCCCCGAACGGCTTGCACCCGTTGGCCTGCCCCGCGTCCGCCGGGTACAGCACCACGCCGGTCAGCGTGCCGCCGTAGTCGGGGACGCCGTAGTTGGCGATGGCGGCCTCGTGGCGGCCCCGTAGCGAGTGCGGCGACAGCACCTTGATGCTGTTCTTCTCCACCACGAACCGCGCCGACGCCACGCTCGCCGTGGCCACCACGACGAGCCACAGCGCCGCCGCGAGCCTGCCCCTCCTCCCGTGCCCGTGGAGCGCCATCGCCATGCCTCTCGGTCCGGTCTAGCTCTGCTTCCTCTGCGTTCTTGTAGAAAATTTCGTGGCTGGGTTGGTTAAAACGGGAGACCACGTAGTGGAGACGACATGGAGGTTGGCCGGGGAGGAGACTTCAGATTACGAGTTTTTCATAGCAAAATTGTACTAGGAGAATAAAAACATTTTGGGGGAGGGGAATTGGTCCGTAGACTGCAAATTGGAGTCTAAAAGTTCAAAGGTTGAAAATTTCCACGTTATGTCGCTGTACAAGATGATGTGACAACTTTGTAATTTTGCATTGACCGGCTGCAAGTCTGCTAAAAGTTTTTTATTTCCTTTGAAAGGAGCACTATGCTAGAGATGTGACATTGCTTGCTTCGCACAGCAACACGCCGTGACGTGATAATTAGGCCCTGACCGATTCCATTCTCCATTTTTTTCTTTGGCTGATTTGATCCATGAGAGTCGTGACACTGACATTGGAGATGCCCTAACCAGCCAGCTCAAGGTTGGGGTCAGTCAGCGGGTGAGGGCAATCATGGCAACTGGCCGTGTGGGATACATCAGGCAGACGTGCCAAGAACAACTCAACCCTATTTTTACACATCAGATTCGATCCGTTTAATTCAAATAATAACACAACTACCCAAGCCATGATAATTAAATGGCATTCTGGTGGCTGCTTAAGGCCACTGATTGATGCTTACATGAGAGATCAGAGGCCATGTTAGAAAACCATGAACTGAGCTCTTGAAATGCCACGAATGGGTTACACAACTGGTGCTATTTTGTTTCCAGCACAATCTGTTGTGCACATGAGTAGATGATTGTGACTGAATTTGTATTTTGGCCTGCTTGATGCATTCTGGGATCTGCATCAGGGTTTCCATATGCTACCTAACGGAACATGGGCTCATATGAACAGCAGGCATGTGTCAAGGCTGGAAGTCGAGCTCGCCGGAGAAATGGCATACAGGCAGGTCGACATAAGTTATGCAACAGGAGCGGAATGGTAAGGCCCCTTCCAAAGATATGACATACTCCATCTCAAAATATAAGACATTTTTTACTTCGATTTGAACTGCATAACATCTTATATTTTGGGACGTTGAACTGCAAAACATCTTATATTTTGGGACGTCGGCAGTAGTTCACAATGGCATAACCTCGTAATCAGGTGAGCTCAAGTTCAGACAAGTGGGTACAAACAGATGAACTTGGCAGACACTAGTTTCGTCTCGAGTGCTCGTTGAGATATTCCAGTACATTTGTTGGCCACCCTAGAATGGATGGTTAACACTTAGGTGCACAAGCAGAATTACCGTTACATGCGTTGTTCAAACTAACGAAACAAAATTGCATGATACATAACAGAGCAGCTCGCACACCTAATAACTCTTCTTCCCAGAATTTCCCTTCTTCCTAGCTTTTCTCTTGTCTTTCTTGATCTTCAAGTGAAGCTGTACCTTCTTCTTGCTAATGGTGCCCATTGGCTTCAGGAAGGATGCAGACTTCTTGCTTCCTCCATCAACCTCTGTATACATGAAGAGAGGACATGACTCAACAAAAACATAGAAGGGTGACGTAGAACTGAAATTAAAGAACCTAAAAGGGTTGGCATGTCCAATAACAATGGAATTGTTTCTGTAACACTGAAGCATCCAATCTCAGAAGCCAACAATTTGTCATGCCAGATAAACTGGGTTACTGACGTCTACCTTCGACGTATCGACTGCGGGGGTGTTGAGATACTCTGATCACATGTACTTAGGCAGCTAGAATCTTCTTTTATTGTTTCCTAGTCTACGGATATCTGCCGATCCTTTCCTTGTATAGCGGATACGGTTGAGATATCCTTGCCCTTGTACTTCATATATATGCTATGGCATACGATCAATGAACATATCACTAATCTACACTATGTTCATTGATCGTATGCCGTAGCATATATATATAGAGTACAAGGATATCTCAACCGTATCCGCTATACAAGGAAAGGATCGGGAGATATCCGTAGACTAGGAAACAATAAAAGAAGATCATAGTCGCCTAAGTACATGCGACCATGAGTATCTCAACACCCCCCACAGTCGATACGTCGCGAGTGACGCAGAGACTGGACCAAAACTCCACGAAGGTAGACGTCGGTAACCCGGTTTATCTGGCATGACTCAACAAAAATACAGAAGGGTGACATGGAATTGAAATTAAAGAATCTAAGGCCTTGTACAATGCAAGAAGCTTACGGGAGGTGCTTAGAGCAATAAATCAGTCTTTCTTTAAGCACCAGTGCTTATTTGTAGAAGGGAGATGCCTAGGTAGGAGTCTCTCCTGTAGAAATAGACATTGGCGCTTCAGAAAAACCCAGTTTATTTTACTAAGCACCTCCCTAAGCACCTAGCATTGTACAAGGCCTAATAGGCTGGCATGTTCAGTAACAGTGGAGTTGTTTCTGTAACACTGAAGCATCCAATCCAGAAGCCAACAGTTTGCCAAGAAAAGATACAAGCGATGGCATATTGACTCTAGAATTTACACCCAGAAGCATCACAATGAAGCTATGTGAGCACTATGTGACAAAAACTGGCATAATTCAAACAAACAATAAAATTCTATTGCTAACCCGATCCAGACACCAGAAAGCAAATCAAATACATAAGCAATAAGCAGCTAAGATGCAAGCCGGGGGCAAAATCTTCAGTTAAAAGGACCCATGCAGGTCAAGGCTTGATAAAACGCACTGATCGCAAATCATTTTCAGCTCATATAACGTTTCAAATCATGCATTAATCAGGTAACTCTACTCTCATCCCTAGTAGCACACTCCAAAGGCGGTTCAAACCAAACATTAAAACGCTTAGGCGTTATCGACCTTGTTCAGAAGAAAAAGACCAAACTAAGCAACTACTATTGTCACTTAGACAAACTCCACGGTTCATCCCTACAAAAGAAATTGGTAGATGCAGCTACTGACAGACAATCTGCGCATGACCCAAACCTTCACAATATTCACCGCAAGTTGGCAGCAGAAAGCCCACTACGAGCTAATTTTCCGTACTTCCTACCTGACGAATCGAGTTACTCATGTACTCCACTATTTAAGCCTAATGAAGTAATGATCTCAGCAACACCGAACACCCCGCGGTAATCCAGCAAGGAAAGAGGGGGCTCACCCATGGCCGAGGCCCGGCTGGCGGCGGCGGCAGCGGCGGCGGCGAGGGACTCCTCGTACATCGGGTGCACGCGGACGGGGAGCTTGGGGGCCTCGAGGGCGGCGGCCTGCGCGGCCTGCTTGGCGGCCTCCTTCTTGTCGTAGAAGGGCTCCGCGATCTCCCGCCGGAGCGTCCGCAGCCGCTTCTCCCGCTTGGACCGCAGAGACTTCGCCATCTCTCTCTCTCTCTCTCCTCTCTGTCGCCGCCGCAACGAGGGGATGGGGGGAGGAGGAGCTCGGTAGGGTTTGGGAGTCGGCGAAGCAAAGGGAAGAGGCGAAAGCGGGCCTTGTTTCGGTTCTTGTAGGAACGGGTTGCCGTCTCTCCTTGGGCTGGGCTTTGTTGGGAGGTGCTGGGTTTAAACTTCGGGCTAAGCCCATATATAATTGCCAGGCTGTAGGGCCTTCTTTCTATTGGAAGTACGCGTGCTTTATCCTTCATTACAGCATGCAATGGCCTTCATTTAATCTTTTTATCTCAATGGTAGCATGCACACATAAGTCTACTACTTTTGGGCATTAATTATGCCTTGTTCAATGCGTAAATCTCTAAATGTGCAGTCTTTCACGAACGTAGGGAGTAGGTTAAGCACTTGAGCGTGAGCGTGTGTGTTGCGTCGTGTGCTGTGTGCCGCATGGGTGCGTGAGTGTTGCGTGCGTCCATGTGTACGTGTGAGTGTTGCATGTTGCATGCATGCATGGGGCTTACTCCCTCCCATATACATGTTCATATTTCAAGCTTCCTCTGTTCCCTCCATATGGTGATACTCCCTCTGTTCCCAAATAGTACAGAGTAAAAGCCTTCCTCTGTTCTTAAATACGGAGTATTTGTCTTTCTACAGATTTCAACAAGTGACTAGGTACGGAGCAAAATGAGTGAAGTGAGCGTAGAGGCATAGGGATACTGTAGAAAGGAAGTCCTCACGATCCATTATTTCCCATTGTGGTCAAAGAGAACTATTCAACTAGTCTTCGCAGTGAAGTGACAATACACGCTGCAGCAGATGGGACACGTAATTAATAAGCTGAACCAGCGTATTGGTGTTACTAAATCAGCTTTACCCAGTACTGCCATCATGTTTGCCAGTAGAGCACGCTTCCGCAAATACGCCTACGCACATCTGTCCTTCATTAACTGACATATGGACCCTGTTGTGGTAGACCCACATGTCATTGGTGTAACTATTTACACTCCTAAGGATGGTATATCCTGATAGTAGTACTAGTAGAATTGAGATTGAATGCACTTTCTTCCCCGTCTTCCACTCTTCTTCCTCCTCTCTTCTTCTTCCTCCTCTCTTCCCCATCGTCGGCCGCACACCATTTCCCCCCGCTCACTGCTCGCCCGCCCGCGCCATCTTCCTTGATAGCTCGCGCGTACCATATCCCCCCGCTCACTGCTCGGCCACACAAGGAGAAGCTTCTTCGCTCGGCCGCCCGAATCCACTTCCCTGCTGGCTGGCAGGCACCGAAAACCCCAATGGCAGAACCGACTGACACACAGAGCCGCGATTGGAATTCCCTCCCCGATGTTCTCTTGGAGCAGATCTGTAGTCGTATGGACCTACTCAGCACCGTCCGTCTGGCCGCATGCTCGGTGTCTATGTACCGTCTACTCGTCTGCAACCGGCCGGGTCTTTTCAAGACACCCTGCTTGCTGATGCTCGATCCTCGTAGGTCGCCCAGACACCGACTTGACGATCCTACGGAGGTTGCCGTGGTGCCCCTCGACATGCTACCACTACCCGTCCACCTGTCCTTCATGCGCGGTCACTACTGGGTGGGCATGAAGGCCAACTAGATCGTCCTCATCCACCACATCAGTAGTTCGTGGCGTCTCATGGATATCTACACCCAGCGAGAGATCACCCTTCCATCGTTGGATACCGCCGCCATCGAGCCTTGCGGCCCGCCGGACACTCCTGCCTACTACGCACGAGATGCATCAAGCTTTTGGGTTGACCTCTGTTTGCAGAAAGTTGTAATCTGCGAAGTGCCCACACCATCAGAAGACTACATGGATTACAAGCTCATTGCCTTGTTCAACATGTGATTAGTCTATCTGGAATTCGGTCGCCATACATGGTTATGGCTCATCATCAATCCTGTTGAGGCAACATTTCTGTCTGATGCTATAGTGCACGAAGGCATCGTTTACGCAGTCGACGCACAGATTGGCTGCCTATACTGGTGGAATCTATCATCGTGTAATTGTTCTATCTCATCTCATCTTTACCTTATGAATACAACTGCATGTTCATTTGTTACAAATTTAGAGTGCATAGCATGTCTATAACCACATCATTGCTATATGTTCCTCTCATTTCCTAGATTTTTATGACCACACATATTATTGTTAGAGTTGATATGAGAAAAATTGGCATCTAATGATTGTTAGAATACATATTATGAGCATAACATCATGATTGCTATATGTTACTCTTGTTTACAAGATTTTTATAACAACGCATGTTATTGCTTAGAGTTGATATGAGAACAGTAGTAGTAAGTGCTATGGTAGAACATGAGTAGGCGCTGTCATAGTTGTTTTTCTCTCATTGTTACATGATGTTTGAACCATGACATATTGCTAGAATATGAAAGCCATTGGCTTATTTTTTTAACTTGGGGTATGATTATGACCACGACATTGCAATTCTCTGTCTATGATATGTGTCGCTGTTATAATAATCTTAATTCCACACATACTCTGAACATGATTGTTTATTTTTGTCCTTTTGGTCTCCAATTTGAATTGTTGCAGTAGACGCAAATGCGCTGGCCTTCATGATTCCAGGACCTGGAATCATGCCAGCCGATGGGTGGTGGTTTATCGCTCGTTCAGCTGACGGCGGTCATTTGATGATCATTCGCACGTACCAAATTGATCAAACCATTACATCAAACCACATGAAGTACAATGCATGGGGCGTTCGTGAAATTGATGCCTATGACTGCTTCGTGTTTGAGAAAGATCCCAGCTCCGCTGGGCCATGCGTATTCAACTGGAGGCGGGTTTACAGCCTTGGCAACCACTCCTTGTTCCTCGGTCTCAATTATCCGATCATCCAACCAATCATCGATCATATCACCGACGATGATTACTGTGCTATGCAACTTCCGTTCGCGAGGGGGGGGGGCTGTGTTTACACATCATATCATGGGTTTCATGAATCACCATATCCAGAGATTCATCGACACAGCTTGTTGCCAGATAATCTTCAGCGTGTGAAAGGCATCAAGCTTTCATGCGATGGATGGCTTTTGCAAACCCGACATGCGGCGATGTGGTTCATGCCAACAGCAAATATGCACAACTTGATTTGTGCTGATATCTAGACTGAGCCATGTATTTTGCTACTGTAGCACGACCCTCTTTTGTTGGATATTATGTACTGTTGTTAGTTTAAAACACTCCTCTAGTTTGAAGGATAAATACCTTCCTGGGATCAAGTGCATCCTAACTCACCTGCGTAGGATGTACTGATGATGATGATGGAGATGTTGTGCAGAAGCCATATATATATATATATATATATATATATATATATATATATATATATATATATATATATATCAGTTAGGCTTCAAGTGCGTACTTGTTAGTTAAACCTATGTATAAATTGTGACACTAAATACGACTAGTAAGTAGTACAGTAGTAGTACTAGTATACGTCGGTCAAATTATTCATCATGTTCACACATTGAATTGACGTGACAACACGTTGCGCGTGAGGTGACACAAGAATCCTGGCGGCGTGTTTGGGTATTCTGAACTTCAGATTTGGAGTACCACTTATGTGTCGAAATCTTTCATCATTCAGTTAAAACAGTTGATTGATCATACATTGAGTACCATATAACTGGAATTACCGATGCAAGTCGAAGAAGGATTGACCGGTGCTGCCGGCTGGCATCAAGTTCGATCCCACGGCTCAGGAGCTGATCGAGCACCTTGAGGCCAAAGTGAGTGCTGATAGCGCGAGATTTCAGTCTCTCATCGATTTGTTCATACCAACCATCGACAGCGAGCACGGCATATGCTACACCCAACCTGAGAAACTTCCAGGTAAGACACTGATCGGCTGTCTACTTGCACAAACATATTCCTTTGTTTATACCTCTATTTTTCTTTTTAGACGCAGACCTGGTGAAGCAATTACAATTTGACAGTTAATAAAAAGTAAAACAAGTGACTGCAACATGCCAAAGATGTTATGAAAATGCCAACTAGATACACTAAAACCTGTATTTCACAATACTGCAGGTATCACATTGAGTGGCCTAAGAAAGCATTTCTTCCAGCGCAATTCCAGGGCGTTCAAAAGGGGCACGTGGACGCGTCGCAAGATACAGTCGGAGTGCAGCATGCACGCGATGTGGCACAAGACCGACAATACCTTGCTGATGATGGTCAACGGCCGGCAGACGGGCAGCAAAAAAGGTTCTGATGCTGCACACCAATAAGAACTTCGACCAGCAGAGGACTAACTGGGTGATGCACCAGTACCACCTCGGGGACCTGGAGCAAGAGAAGAAGCGGGAGCTGGTCCTCTGCAAGATTTTCTACCAGACAAACACTAGGGCCAGGAGTAAAAAGATTATAAGTTAGTTTGGTATTGGTAGTTGTACTACCTTGTCATCCGCAAGTTGGTATTGTTGTTAACGATCTTTTGGTATGAACTTGCATTTGCTTCCAACCATCATGCCGAGGGTCGACGTGGATATAAAACTGAATCGTTTATTTCGAAACGAATTTTCAGGCACCTGATTTTTATTTGATGGGTAGCATAAGCACCTGCCATTTGAATTCCCAGTTCTCCAATTTTTTCGAAACAAGTGCATGCATTTATTATCACAATAAAAAAACAATATCCATGTTGCATCCCAGTTATAAGTTTGTACTTGCAGAATTCTCTCGTTTATTGAGCACGTATATTGTTTTTTCAGGTCGAGCAAGTTTTAACTGGGCTGTAGACTGCCCAGGTTGGCTTTATTTTTAACAGGCCCAGCCCATGACGACAACGGGGCACAAAGATCCAGCAGGTATATACTGGCCTCTGGCCCGCCAGCGTTAGTTATATTTTGTCTTACAACATCCGCAGGTAGTTTCTTTACTGAATCAAACACACAACTCAGTTCTATTTTCCTCTTGAAACGCATGTCCTACATCCGTTTT